TATATATATATATATATACACACAAACACGCATATACATAAGCACATACATATAATCATTCATAAGAAGATATATAAAATGAAATTGACCCGAGTCCACTAGAGCTTTCCTTTAAGTTACACACTGCGGCTATGAAAGGTATTAGTCAATGGGGGTTATGTGTGACACCCGTGAATACAGTATATGCAGTTATTTTCTATGAATAAACAAACAGAGCTGCCATACAGACTCTGCAGTGGTGAGTGCAGAAACACTGGCAACCATAGGAACACATTCCAGATGCATTTTCTGGAAACCTTGGTGGCACTTTGCAGAAAGTCTGACCATTACCAAGTAGGTGAAACAATGGGGGATCACCACACCAACAATTCTGGCTTAGCTGTTCCTGCATATTATAATTAAACATTTCAATATATTCACAATTATTTCACCAGTAATTTAAGGAAGTGAACTTGAAAAGATGAACCTGACAATATGAAAATATGTCAGATACTTGACTAGTTTGAGAAACACTGCTTAAAAAAGTATAGAGGATTATATCCGGATTAAACAGCAATAGTGCTGCAAAGAGATCAATATGTTTTAATTTCAAATGGCTGCTTTTAATTTTAAAAAAGAACTTTATACTCAACAAGCAGCTTTTATCTCTTTCAGATAGCTGCAACTATCTCATGAAGTTCTCTAGGTAATCCCACCTCAAAAATAAAACTGTTGACCTTTGAGAGCCTGAGTATGAAATGATTGTTGTGTATTTTGTCATGTAGGTCAGCATTATTGATAACTTCTAAAGTAGAACACATAACTTAAATGTATTCAGTGTGTATAGCCAAAACTTTTTTTTTTTTTCCAGTTTTGGATAAAGAAGACAATGGTTAACACTGCTCAGTTTTTTCTGTTGTTTTTTTTTCTGTGTTTGTCCTTTTGGGGAGATTTTTTTTAATTTCCTATTCCACAGACTGAACAAAGAGAGGCCATCTCTCCAAAGTGTGGACAATCCTCAGTTGTCTCTGTAAAAGGGTTCCCATTGGAAGACTCTCCCTTTGTCTGCTTTGTCACATTGAACTGTGCTGTTAGATTTTAAAATTACACTAAACTTAGGAGTTAATTCCTAAAAATGCATTTAAGTACCCAAACTATTAACAAAAATGCATCTTATTTGTGTATCACTCAGCTGAAGAGCCTCAAATCATCTCTGCATTCATGCTGACACTTCCTTCTGGAGGGTGGCTACTTTTGTTCCCCATGGTACCTGTGTGTATTGTAAAATAGCGACCACTCCGAGCTCACTCCTGTGATGGGCTACAATCTCACATTTAGCTTACTAATTTGTATTGAGATTGTAGTCCATCACAGTAGTGAGATTGGAGCGATGGCTATTTTACAATACACACAGGGACCATAGGGAACAAAAGTAGCCACCCTCCACAAGGAAGGACAGTGTAAGCACCAAGTCGGAGATGATTTGAGGATCTGCAGCCCAGTGATACACAAGTAAAATACATTTTTGTTAATAATTAGGGTAACTGAATGCATTTTTAAGATTTAACTCCTGAGTTTAGTGTTGCTAAGTATAGGTCCACTGAAAATTTGTGTTCTGCTGCAGCATAATATGGATTTCTTTCCTCATCCTGGGAATATACTGTGACATTAGCAGCCACAAAAAGTGTATCGAGTGTACCAATAAATGCTAGTATCTGCATTGTAGAAATGGTTGTCAAGTGATATCTGGTATCAGTTTCAATAGACAATTTAGTTGAAAGCAAAGCAGTAATGAAACTGGGAAGAAAGAATTTAAACAAACAAAAGTGTTTCATCGGGATTGGGAATTACAAAGAAATTACAGTGCTAGACGAAAATAGAATTTAACACACAAAAAAATACACAAAAAAGTAAATATAAGTAAACTTATAGCGGCTTTCAATCTTCACTATTATGCAATATACAGCATTCAGATAACTGTGTTTATAAATATATTAAGATAGGACACATAATGGTTATTACATTCAGCGTATGTTTTACACTTCCTAAGGCTTATTAGAGGTGCCAGTCTATAAGGCCTCATTTGCACTGGACACACACATGCGCTTAAATGGGCCGATCCTGGGAGGACGTGGCTGTACGCTGTCATCCGTGTGGTTACAGCTGTCCGCACCTGCATGCAGTTTGGGTGTGCGTGTGACAGCGTACATTACGGGTGTGCATGCCCCGTGTGAGTGAGGCCTAGACACATTCTCCTTGCCGGTCATTCTATATACATGTGCTGGTCCTATTTCATATGTTTTCATTTATATTGTTTTCCACATTTATATACAGACTAGGATTTCCATCAAAGTTGACCATGACGGGGTGGGGCAAACTGTGCATTTTTAAAATTATTTTTAATTGCTTTTTACACTTTTTTGTTTTTTAAATAAAAGTAAATTCATGGGAAGAAAAGGTAACCATTCAAAATTCTGGTGGCATTGTTATAGTTTGTCCCAACCTATCATAGTTACTGTTGCTGGACAGTTTGGTCAGCATGGAACTGTGGGGAAAATATAAAGACATGTGTATAAAAAAAAGTATTTATATAGTATATATCATCATTGCATTTATTGACTGTATTAACTGCATACAGTTATGAGAATACAATATATTTATTTCCTTTAAACTAACAGTGGACCCTTTCTGATCCTTGCACATATCTAAAAAAATGCCTTTGTTTAAAGACCAACTCCAGTTATATAAAAAAAAAGGAAAATAAAAATTATTTTGGCCAGCAAAGTATAAAAAACTTCCTGTTCCACTTGATGACCCCTTGTCCCACCTGGAGGCATGTTATCAGGCCAACTTGGACTCACAGGAAAATGAGGAGGAGAGTGATACCAGGTCATGATGTAGTGCTACTCTATGCGGCATTCAGGGCCCACTCATTGCCAGAGGAAGAAGAGGACCTATGACAATACAAAACTGGACCAATGACAGCTGGAAAAAAAAAGATAGGTATAAAAGGGAATAGGGAAGCTGGAGTTGACCTTAAATAGTTTGACTAGAATAAAATATAAATGACAACACACAAGAAAACCTATGTTGGCAAGAGCTGTATAATATACTGTATAAAATTATATAAAGCCAATAATTAAGGAGATTAAGGGGGGATATGATTTTCATGTACAAGATGTTCAATGGTGACAGCAACATTGGCAACAAACTGTTTGAGATTAACTCCATTACAAAGACTAGAGGCCACCACCTAAACTTGGTGGAGAAAAAATTCCAGCACAATGGGCGAAGAGGGTTCTTTACAGTAAGAGCGGTTAAGGTCTGGAACTCACTGCCATCGGCAGTGATTTCAGCCAAGAGTGTAGATTTGTTCAAGAAACGTTTGGACAATTTCTTGAGGGACCGTAATATCCAGGGATACCAGTATCCTTAAGAATGAGATGATGCGTGGACCTATATGGGTTGGACTTTATGGACGTATGTCTTTATTCAACCCCAAATACTATGTAATAATGAAATGAAGATCGCTTACCCATATCTTGTTGTTTTGAATTCCACTTTCAGGATAGGCTTGCATGGTTCTGGCTTCTTTCCATCTTTTATCTGTTTACCTAGGACAGAACATAACACTAATGTAAAATAGAAAATACATATATACATGGAACAACAAAACACAATAATCACAATTTCATAGAGATGAAGATCAAACACTGCCTTGCATGTAGCAATAATAAACACATATATATTGATGTAATTACATGTCAAACTGCTCCGGCTGAACACATCAATTTCACATCTTAAATGTAACAGTATTTGCCATCATATTGATATTTGTACACATATAGTGTATTACAAATATAATTTTACATAGGCTGCTTGTATTTGGCAATTGTGAAATAAATGGTAACACGTTCGCAGCTTCACTGAGTTGATGGGTTAGCCTTCACATAAAGACATATCATGAAATACATTTCATCAGTGAGCGCAGATCTGTTGTCTAATGCTTTGTTTCATCAAGCAACAGTGATTTAAGCACATTTTACAAACCAAATGTACATGTAAATAACCACACCAATCTCATCCTCCCAAGTATATGAAGGCAAACAAAATATGAGTCGGTGGTGTAATTAGTTTCGTCAAGCAAGGCAAAGATGAATACATTTTCCCCAGGTTTTTTTTCTTTTTGTAGAGAAAAGATAATTTTTTTTTTGATTTCAGCTTTTAAATACTGGGGATAGTTTGACAAATGAACGCCAACTGCATTTGGTTACACTGTGATGTCACATCCCTTTGTTTTTTTGATTATATAAATCCTATGGGGTGAGATCCGCTTTAGGTTTATGTGATTATGTTGTTTTTCGTGCCTCTTTTCTTCTTTTCTTACACTTTATCATTTATATTACTATTATTTCCTTAGTCCTGTTTCTTTGGTGTTTTCAATGTCCATCCTTTTAACATTTCATGTTATGAATTACACTATCTTATCCTCATATGACGTCCTTGTATGTTGGGTTCCAATATGGGAGCAAAAGCTTGTGTTTTATCAGAAAACCACTAGTAATGCATCCCACCCCCACAACGCCCATCCCTTCTCTTCCCATATCTTTCTTATATGTTCACCATGCTCCTCCCAATCTCTCTTTTGTATGTTCCCCATGCTCCTCCCAATCTCTCTTTTATATGTTCCCCATGCTCCTCCCAATCTCTCTTTTATATCTACTTTACTGTTCATACTCACTGTTCTTTATTTGCTCTTTCTCCATACCTCTATTTCTTTTTGAAGCCAAATGTTTTTTATTGTTAAAAACCTGATGACAACAACAATATTCTCATATTGGCTGCCATTTTATGTTCTCATCTCATATCTTACAGTTCAAGATGTTATTTACTATATTTCAATTTACTTGTTATTTTACGAGTTCTACCAATACCTGGCTTACACTATTATTGTGACTCTATGTGCCTATCCTAAATAAAGAATGTATTAAAAAAGCCTATGGGGTAATTACATGGTCACAACCCCGGTAGGTTTGCCGAGTCACAGTTTAAATCACTTCCTTTGCCAGCATTTGATCACATCTTAGCTTTAAGTGCTTACAGGCCAAATTATCATCCAGCCTAAGGCCAAGCACACACAGCCCAAAACTTGCAATCCAGGCACATTAAATGTGTTTAGCTAATAAACTCCAGCTCATGTCCAAAATAATTTATATGCTATTTTAGGAAGCATGGTGGCTTGTTCATGCCAATGAACTGTACCATCAACACAACGTTTTGAATGCTCAACGTGAAACTCGATTAATTGTAATATATTTTCTGTCTGTGACCTTCACTTTCATTTTAGTTCAATCTGAGTTTATTAAAGTTTAAAACGTAGCACAAAAAAGGTAAAGAAACGATTTCACCTTGACAAACAAACACGGGACATAGTACAAAAATTACACGTGAAAGGAAATAGCCTGTGGGCCAGTAGGCCTGTGGATATCATCAACAGGATAGTCATCAGTATCTGAGCTGTATTGTTTTATCAACATCAGTGGTAGTAAATGTAACACAATGCATAGTAAGAATACTGTAAGTTAGTACAGGCCCAGGGCCGTCTGTGGCGTCTCCTCCCAATACATCCCGATACGAGGCATGAGTACAGGGTAGGAGAGAAACCACTCCAGCATATACAGCATGTAGTTTAGGCAGTAACGCTCATCGGGTGGACAATCAGCATCATGTACACAAAGTGGGGGGGGGCGGAATGCCAGTGACAGGAGTCCATAGGGGAAGAAGAGAAGAAGAAGGGGGGAGGGGAGAAGCCCAGTTGAGCGTAGAGGAAAGGGGGGGTTGAGTAAGGGGACCAAAGTCTCCGACCCTCTGCCCGGCCATCTAACGACCTTGATGGGGAGGCACTTTAAGGAGAGAGGATTGCTGTGAATCCATCCGAGTTCCTAAACACAATCCTTCACTTCCATTTTATGTGCTGATGATGATGACTGTTGTCATTGGGATGGAATGTAAAGGAAAATCTCAAATTTTAGAGCTGTCATTTTGGTGAAGATTTTCTCCTGCTTCTGAGAAATTTTTTTTTTTATTACTTCCTGTTTTGTCTTTGCATCAGGAAAGAAGGTGCTATTCCCCCAATATGGACACAGACTACAATGCAAGACTACAATGCAAAAAAAAAGATGGGAGCATTGTTACTGTAATAGGTGGGCACACTTATTATGGAAGTTATTTGATTTTCTAAGGGATAATCAAGACTGCATTAGATGTAAAAGACTGACAGACTATTTACCTGTAACAGTAAATGGTTCGTGATTGCTTGCAACAAAATACGGTCATGGTTTGCTTGCATGCAATAAAAGATTGTCATAAGCCACTTGCATATAACAAATAATTGTAGACTGCTAGCATGTTAATACACACCACTGTTCTCCCACTGACAGAGAAGTTGTTATGTAGATGTCCCTGCCACACTAGTCAATACCTTGAATAGTTTCCCGATATAATCTTGCTAGGTGAAACAAAAACAAAAAATGGATAATATATCAAGAAATGTATTCAACAACATTGACCAGGTTACAACTTGTTATACAGTCATGGGCAAATATATTGGCACCCCTGCATTTCTGTCAGATAATGCACCATTTTGCGCAGAAAAATGTTGCAATTACAAAAGTTTAGGCATTCTCATGTTTATTTCTTTTGTTTGCATTGGTATGACAAAAAAGTGAAGAAAAAAAAAGCCAAAACTGACACATTCCATGCAAAACTCCAAAAATGGACTGGACAAAATTATTGGCACCTTCTCCAATTGCAAGAAATAAGTGCAGAAATAAGCGCTGGAGAGTACTGGACTGGCCAACAATGAGCCCAGATCCCATAGAGAACCTGTGGAGAGATCTCAAAACAGCAGTTGGGAAAAGGAACCATTCCAATCTGAGAGACCTGGAACAGTTGGCGAAGAGTGGTCCAAAATTCCTGTAGAGAGGTGTAAGAAACTCATTGATGGTTACAGGAAGCGACTGACTTCAGTTATTTTTTCCAAGCCTCACCAGTGAGACTAATCAAAGAAAAAAAAAAGGCTTCAATTAACTCAGGAACAAAAGAATTGGACTCTGGAGCAATAGAAAAGGTCAAGTGGTCTAATGAGTCCAGATTTACCCTGTTCCAGTGATGAGCGCATTAGGGTAAAAAGAGAGGTGGATGAAGTAATGCACCCATCATGCCTAGTGTCTACTGTACAAGCCTATGGGGGAGTGTTATGATCTGGGTTGATTCAGTTTGTCAGTTCAAAGTTCTGCAACGTTATGTCCCCAAAAATTAGGTCAGCTGCCTACCTGAATATACAGAATGACCAGGTTTTTCCATCTATGGATTTTTTCTTCCCTGATGGCACGGGCATATTCCAGGATGATGATGTCAATATTCACCTGGCTCAAATTGTGAATGAATGGTTCAGGGAGCTCAAGACATAATTTTTACAGACGGACCTAACCTCACTGAGAATCTTTGAGATGTGCTGCAGAAGACTTTATGCAGTGGTCCCGCTCTCCCATCATCACTATCAGATCTTAGTGAAAAATGAATGCAGCTCTATCTGCAGGCTCTCAACCATGGGAAACCTTAAGCATTGTGGTCTGGGAGATGCAGCTTGGCTGCTCTCTCTTCTAGCTGGTAAGATGTTTGTTTGCTGAAGAAAAGCCCTTTCATTTTGAACAACTGTTTATGGTGAACAAAAAGAACAATATTGGTTGAAAGTCACTAAAATTCTAGTAAAAATGTGGTGCTGCTCTCTTGTGGCATTCTCTTGCATGTTAAACATTGACAAATAAATTCAAATTTTACCAGAATTTCCAGAGCTTGAGAGGAGCTTATTGGAGGCTTTTAAGTCAGTCCTTGATTTTACTAGAAGAGTGGAGAGAACTGCACTGACTGTTAAGTTGAAGTCAGCAAGTAGTCAAATATGGTAACACATGCCAGAAGACTGGCTACAGGTGTGGCCTGGATGAAGACACATCAAAAAGAATGGACAATAGCTGTATGGGAATTAAGAAAGATGCACACAGCCCATATGGCTTGTATGAGCCACTTGTGAAATCATAAAAACAATAAGACCATTGAACCTGGACTTTAAAGCTCAGCTCCAGGCAGAAATGTAAAGGCAGTTATGTAAATTAGATATCTTCCCTTTCTGTAGTCCATTTTTCAATTGCTGCAGCAGTCGTAGAATAGCTCCCCCCTCATAGTCTCCATTATAGGGCACACAAATTTAGATTCCCATTTTATAAAATGGGTGGACAATATGCATATACCCTCTCCACCCCAGGGCCAGCCATTGTGTAAACACCTCTTAGTTGCATCCTACTTTGAGGAGCAACATAATTACATCACCCCTTCTTGTAATGGGAGGACCCAGTCTGCACAGACTCACGGTCTGTCAAGCCCATCCATGTTATTGGCAGGTTATGCTAATGCCAAGGATATGACGTTGGCACCTGCCTCATCCCTCTTCCCAATTGCTGGGGAAAACTGCATTTTTCAACCAACACTGAAGATGCCACAGACATTTCAATAGTATATTTGTCAAAATATATGTGATTTAAACAAAAACAAATAA